AATTATAATAACTAATTATAAATTTTACATAATTGTTATAATGTGGCATCCATTAATTAATCTTCCTTCCATGCAAAAAGCAAAAACGTTTTATTCCGTTGGTTCCACCATAATTTTTAAATTTTTGTCCACCAAGTTATTCTAAACAACCCTTATTAAAAAATGTTATCAGAAAATTTAATTTTTAAATATTTACTCACTTGGTATGATATTATGTAGACTATTATAATGAAAAATATTCAACTAGAGACAATTGGGTTTAATTGTTTTCTTACCAGGAATAACTTATAAACATTTTGATCACTAGCTGTATTCAGTATACACATGCTTCAGTCTCCTGTACTGTACCAGACATCTCAGATGATCTTGTCTAAGTGTGTGATTCTGCAAAAAATGACTATAGTTTTTTATTTTTTATTCTGTGCACAGACATGTGTCATCAAATCTTGTAGATCAACAAACACTCAGAGAGATTCTTTTGACCTGGCTATGAAAACAAGTACACTAGTCACCCATGAGGAAAAGTTAAGCTTCAGGGGCCACTGGTCTCTGCTAGAGCACAGCCCAGGTTGACATCACATTCTTCTTGTACAGTCAAAGGTCCTCCATTTGTGACCACCTACCATAATCAACCACCTGTGTCCAAAACACCAAAGTTTTCCTATTCAGAGCCTCATGGTTGGAACCTCTCCTTATGGACCACCTTCTGTAAGTTACCATGCATGACCACTTTTCGCAGCTCTTGGTTTAATTATTTCTTTTTTGTTTTTCACCTCTCGTAAGTGGCCTTTTGAACCTTGCTTTGATCTCATGTTTGCTGTATATACTATGCTACTTAGAGTATTAGAACTTAGAAAAACGTGGGATTACATATATTGCAACTCAGAAATTGCATGCAACAGATTAAATTTGATTCAACCAGTCAGAAGCACTAAACCACATCTGGGTAGTGAGACGTCATCAGTATGTAGTTTCTGTGCTCATTTCTCAGACGTCATTTGGTGGGGAAACCAGCTGTAGTGTCGGCAAATGTCGGCTGTTTTCTCAGGCTAACTCAGATATTGCATACAACAGGTTATCGTCTATATTCTTGGATTGCATGTGACGCCACCAAAAATCAAACTAAGAAACTATCGATTCTTCTGAGTTTCTACTTTCATGAGGTATTACAGTACCTAAACATCTTTACATAAATAAATTTTTGGTTCGAAAGGGTTCTTCGTTCTGCGAGAGAGGACGCTTGAATTTCCAGGCTTTTGCGTGACACGGCATTTAGCTGGTGGCCGGGAAAGCTCTTATGTAGGTTAAAAACATTACCGATTTTGGGAGATTTTGCAATCTAAACATTCCTTGTCTCAGAATAAATATTACTGTAATCTTATGAGTTCCTCAAGCCAAGAATTCACGCATTAGTAGGAAAACTCGAAAACAGATGTTTTTGTTGGTATCCGGCGGCCATATTGGTGTTCCTGAAAGGGACACCAACATGGCGTTTCCATACAAAGTTTTATAAATTTAGGTAAACCGTTTTTCCCAATATCTCGCATTTGAAATATTTCACAGACCTGATTTTTGGCAAGGGGTTTTGTATATTTATCTTTTTTCATTTCCCAGATTCTAGTCCTTCTGTATTGAATGGTTTGCATTTTTATTTTTCATTGCGTGACAGTGCAAGCCGAGAATAGTACATGTGTCTGGACCTCTTCTTGCAAGAGACCTCCTGTGGTTCAATTCTTGTGAACAACCTACTCCTGGAAGTGACCAATAGCTCTTTGCCTTTTGGGTGGTCATTTATGGGTGGTTTAACTGTATTAAAGAAATATTAATTTTGTATAATTTATTGCTTATTTTAACGTTTTCACTGTGATTTTTCATTGACCCTTGTTGTAACTTTTCAGTGTTGTACTGAGTCAAATAGCAAGAATTTCTTGAAGAACAAGGCAGCCTAAGTCTTTAGCTTGATCTTTGTCTGCGATTATCCTGAGAAGGTTAGCTGATTTACTGTTATTTCAAGTGTTACTGTTAAAAGTCATAACTTCTCACACACTGAATTATGGTGGCCCATTATTATCATAGAAAAACTAACTGTTTTATTTAAGGAAATTGAAAACATATTTTAAAAAAGACCAAAATAAATAAATAAATATACATAAATATAAAAACACACACAAAAATTAATTAAAATAAATTTGAATGCGACTGCGACACGTAAGGTCAGTGGAGAACCCCTCGTTACCAGGGCCTCTATCTTTCTTCGTGTAAAATGGGGTTGACAGGCCTACAGGACTCCCCAGCACGTGTTCAAAATAACCTTTTTATAGTTTTGCTCTCATGAGTATGTCTTTGAGCGACCGCCCTCTTTTATAAGATACGAGGGGCGGTTGTTTGTAGATTTCGCTCAGTAATGGTTGTTGTTCTATTAAATGCCAGTTTTTCATGAGAATTTGCTTTAGGTTTAGCACTGATGGTTGGTATTGTGTGACAAAAGGCAAGATTCATTGGTTTGCCTTTGGTTTCTGTTGAAGGGCTAGTTTCCTGTCTTTGAAGTTCACCTCTGAGAGGGTTGTGTTAATAAGATCCTCTGGGTAACCCCTCTGTAGCAGATGCGCTTTGAAATTTGTAATTTTCTCTTCGAATATTAGTTCGGAAGAGTTTGTTCTGAGGAGTCGGAGGGCTTCCCCTTTAATGAAGCCTTTTTTAACTCCTTTCGGGTGACAGGAAGCAAAGTGGGTATACTGAAATGTCTCAGTTGGTTTGAAATGAGTACGCACATCAAAAATTGCGTCTCTTTCGAATCTTTCCCCTTTGTAGATGTAGGTGTCCAGGAATGTTGTTTCTTTATCGGAAATTTCAGCCGTAAATTTGATCGTAGGGTGATGATTGTTTGCTTGTTCAATGGAATGTTCTATTCTGTCTCTGTTTGTAGTCCAGAGCGAGAAAATGTCGTCTATGTAACGTTTCCAAACGAGCGGTTTAAAAAGGCTTTGGCTAAGGATTTCCGTCTCTACCTTGTTCATGAATATATTAGAAAAGGCGACTGCCATTTTCATGTCCATGGCTGTACCATGTGTTTGAAGGTAGTTTTTTTCCATTAAACTGTAAAGGATTTTCTTGGAGAATTAGCCTGAGCGCTCGTTTTAGTAGTTGTGTAGGGATAGGAGGTTCGTTTCTATAGAATATTTCGTATGCTCTGCATACCGTGTCTATTCCCTCCTCTTGCGGTATATTTGTATACAAGCTCGCAACGTCCATTGAAACAAGTATGACGTCCGCTGGGACTTTCGTATTTTCTATGAAATTGACGAAGACGGTAGTATCTTTATGATACGACTTTTGTTGTTGTGCTATCGGCTAAAGGAGTTTGTCGACAAATGATGATAGTTTCTCCGTTGGGCCATCACACCCTGATACTATTGGTCTGCCGAACGGGGACGGCTTGTGTATCTTAGTGAGTTTGTCAGCGTGAGATCCTCATAAGGGAATGCCACAAATTCTCTAGGCTGTACGTAGCCTCCCACGCAGGTGTTTTTAGGGGAGCTCGTATTTCGTCCCTCCCCAAGGGGAGGGAAGAAATACGAGCTGCCCTAAAAACGCCTGCGTGGGAGGCTAGGCTGTACGGGACGAAATGTCTGTTTGTTGTCTGGCTCTGAAGCCAAACGTTGCACGATTAACTCATGCGGAGCGGAACCAGATTTCTTGCTCTTGCCCTTTCCGCGAGGATCCAGTCGCTTCCTTTTCGTCTTCATTTCCTCTTGTAAACGGTTCCATACAGTTTGCCTTTTATTCATCTCGATAAAAGGACTTTAGATGGGTGTAATGTATGAGGCAGGTTATGAGCCGGTGAAAGCACTACCTTGCAGCTCACACGCGCGAGGAACCTTCCAGGCCAGGTACACAGCTTGCCGCTGTTTTGAGATGACTCCGATGAGTCTGATGTAACGTGTCGCAGGCTATGATAACGATGGGTCACTTTACGACATTTCATTTTGAGAAAAGAAATTTATTGTGATTTCAGTTCGGCCCAGCGTTATCATAGCAAAATAAAAATCAATTTGCATTTCTACTAAGGGATTTTAATATGTTGTTTTTTTTTTCAAATATTGTTTTCGATTTCATTTTTTTTTTGTTTACTATTATTATTACTATTTTTTAATTTAAATTTTCTTTTCTTTTTTTTTTTGGTTGAAATTTATTTACATTTTCATTTTGTTTCTTTATTTTTTTTAAATTCAAATTTATTTTAATTAATTTTTTTGTGTGTTTTTATATTTATGTATATTTATTTATTTATTTTGGTCTTTTTTAAAATATGTTTTCAATTTCCTTAAATAAAACAGGCATTTCCAGTTAGTTTTTCTATGATAATAATGGGCCACCATACTGAATGCCATTTGTCTGCTACGCAACAATGCAACAGCACAACCATCACAAAAAGTTTTCAAAAAACAAAGGAAAAATAGAAAAACATTCCTGAACCCAATACACTGCTGTCAAACTAACACACACTTTGGTGGGAGGGTGGGAAACACTGTTGCACTGTTTGTTACGAAAGGAAAAAACTGAGTCATGCAATGAGTGTGAATACTGATACCCTAAATTGTAACTTGACAGTTAGACAGTGTTACGCACTCATTGCTGGTAAACTAACACCTTGCAGCCATTACTACCCACACCAATGGAACCAGGCACCTGTCACAATGATTTATCAGAGAAAATTATAGGGAGGGAAGGGTTGGGGGAAAGGCACAATCTAAAGGCTGAACAAAGCGAGTAATTGCCTTGAAAGCATTGTACTAACCACATGGAGCTGATGTTAGCAAGGGTGATTGCGCTTGAGCCACCACACTGACCGCTGACCAACAGCATGCGACGGCGGTCCTTGTTATTAGCCGCTTTAAATTTTGTTTAACCTCATGTTACATTTCTCTTCACTCTGTAGTGGCCGCTGTTTTTTCTCAGACCTCCTCCAGTGCTTGGAATATGGAGCATTAGCTGTGGATATGTACCTTAGGATTTTGAAGGGAATTGATTTGGAACTGGTAGATAGAGATGTGATAAGGACTCAACAGGTTAATTTTGTGTATTGTTTTTATATCTATGTTATATCCATGGGTGAAAATAAACCTTCAACAAAGAGGGGTACCATCAAACAGAAATTGATTACCTATTAAATTAGAACTGTATTGTACTACCTAACATCTCATTTTGCAGTGCATAGAGTGAGTGAAGCTGAACCCGTATTTAGCAGGTGTCTGTAGAGCAGGGTTTGACTGTACCTAAGTTTTTGTATTTGCCTGATATACAAGCTTGTTAAAGTTGTGACAAACTCCACCATGCCACACACATTAAGTTGTCGGTGCTAATATCTAAACATGCTATGCAAAGGGCTGCTGCACTGTACATGTGTGTGAAATTGCTCCTTCTGAAAATCAAAATCCATTTTTAAGAGTTAAGACATTGCTTCTAGAATCTTGATTGACAACATTCTGAAACTTGTATCATCATTTCTTTTTTCAAGACTCTAAGATCGATTATTAAAACTGTCAACTTTTGATGAGTTTCAGCTGGTTGCACTTGTACAAGTTTGTAAAACCATTTACAGATGAATCAGTTTAGAAGCTAAATATAATTTTTCTTCTATGAACAGGAAGTAGAAAGAAACACAAAAGTTAAAGATCACATCAGGGATACGTGCATCACAGAGCTTGTTGACTCTTGGTTTCAGATTCTGGTAGGTGGAAATCATGTACCGGTATTTTAGCAAAACAATGAGGTTGATCTCGGTTTTATTAACTGTTATTTTGTATCGTGTTTTGTATGCAGAAAACATATGAAAATAGTGTGTCATCAATAACGTGCCTTTGCCTGGACACTGCCTGGGCATCATTGGATATTGAATGGACTGATATTGCCCTAATTGCAAACAACAGGTTTATCAGGTAATGTTCATTGTAAAAAGGGCAGATTAAAATGCAGACTGCGGACTGACGGTGGACTATTGTTTTTAGGGTTATAAAACAATGGGACTTTTAAGTGAAAAATGATCCTCGCAGTTGTTAATGCAACTTATGCAATTGTGTAAGAGAAGCCTGAAAAAAATTCAGGACTTCAACGTGATTTGAATTAACCCATGACCTCGCGATATGGGTGCAATTCTCTAACCAACTAAGCTATGAAGCCAATGATGTTGGGAGCAGGTCAATTATGTGTTCATATGTTCCCATGAAAGAGAAAATGTGACAAATGTAAATAAATGAAATAAATCATACATGAGAACTGCGGAAATGAAATCAAGTAAAGTATGATCCTCGCAGTTGATGTATTTCATATACATTTGTTACATTTTATGTCTTTCACGGGAACATAGAGAAGCAGTATCCTTGAACCACAAGAGGTACATGAATTCATGTGTAAGACTAAGCTTACTAAGGTGTACCAGCCTGTGTATCAGACATGGTTTAACATTGGTTAGTAACGTCTGTGCAGCAGTGCTGATATCCTTGTCCTAGTCCCCAACGTACTCAAAAAATTACCAGAAGTGTGTATCAATTTTCCTTTCATCTTGATTAGCAAATCAACTATGGCTTTTTAAACTGGCCAATCATGGCATAAACTTAAATCCATGTACACAGGAGGAGGCCCAGAAGAAGGGTTTCAGCGCTGTTTCAAATGACATGAACAGAGTTTACAGACTTAAAGAACTTAGATTCCTTGCTGATAAATTGTTGGTCATCCTCCTTGTCGTGTATGTCAGTATTAAACAACTGCATTTTTCCCTTGGCAAAAAATGTTTCCTTACTTATTAGGTTAATAAGTTTTTACAGCACATATGATATAACCCTTATTAAGTGCCTGTCCTACTAGTGATCAATCTAACATCCATTCATTCATTTAATATTTATGGCAGGATTGAGTCAAAACGCTGGAAGAAAATGTTGCTGATTTTGGTAGAATATCAGAAATTCTACTCACCATTTAGGGAAAGGTAATGCACTCAGTCGTACATTACACATTTCAACTATTTTTAGGTTTTAACAGACTTGTTTAGAACGCTTTGACAAAAAACCTGTCAACAAACTGTTGTAGAGCGAGCCGACCCCACCCCCCAGCCCCCCCCCCCCGACCGAAACAATCCAGAAAGAGTTTTAAAAAAATGACGTAATTTTTTAGTTTGTCTAGTCATAAATCAGCATTGAATACGACAGTCGTCGTCCAGGAAGCGTGCTACATGTTTCGTCGGTCGCGCTTATCTGAAAAGCAATATTTTAAGTCCGTTTTTTTCGTGTTCAAGTTACTCTTCTGCACGGCCAATGAATGTTAAAGTGAAATCGTAGACTAGGACGATTTCCCGAATCGCTTTGCAAATGTGAGGGGGGCGGCATAACTTTTCGAAGAGAAGATTCTAACATTCTTATCTTTGGTGTTCCGCGTTTTAGAACATATCGAGGAACAGCTGTTGTTGTAGCGAAAGGCTGATGCCTGTATCAGCTAGTTTGCTATGACGGCTGTTATTTCCAGAGCAACGCCAACCATAAACCAGGGTCTGTCAAGTGCCATTCACGAGGTGAGTGATGAATGTAGGTAGTGTATTTTAAAAAATGTTAGGTAGCCTGTGTAGCTGGCGGGATTCCTGTGCCCGGGGTGGCGACGGAACCGCCACGCGAAGCGAGGGGTGAAGCGAGGGATTTTCGCGAGCGGCTTGCAGCGAGAGAAAATTTTAAATTGACTTGTACCCACTCTTCTCAGCACTTCCACGCTAATCCCACCAGCCACGCAGGCTAAACGTAAGGAAGATCCTTGCATTTAAACTTGCTATAGCCTGAGTGGCAGGCGTTCAAAAGGGAAGGGAAAGGGGATTTGGAGCGCGCAAGAAGCGGACTCGCGCCTAAATTCTCTTCCTCGTCCGTTTCGAACGCCAGCCACGCAGGCTAAACTAGCTGACTTGTGCATTTGTGAAAAGAAAGCTGGAAGAAACTCCGGCTTGCAGTTTGCCGGGATTCGAAGCCAGACTTCTGCGATACCGGTGCAGCGCTCTAACCAATTAAGCCAGCATACCAACTGGGTCATTATGTTGGAGAGTTTAAGCTTCACGTACACGGCAAACAGTTAGCGTCTGATTCAAGTTGAGAATTTCTCAAAATAGAAAATGAGCAGATAAAAACAGCTCAAAACAATTCTTATGGATAAAAAATTGCTTGAAACTACTAATTTAGGTGAAGAAATAGTGAACAGTAAACAACAAGTATTAAAAGAGGAAACTTGGTCACGTGGTACAAATTCGTGTTTGCCGTTTGACGAAAACGTGATGCTGAACCTCTCTAATGGTTCGTAATATACCCAGGAAAGGCTAGTAGTGTATTTGCTGATTTCGGTCTCTGAGTGCGTCCTCTTTGGGACGCAACAGGACGGCAGAGAGAAGAGGACGGCAAAAAGTTTGTGTGTGACAAGCGCGACTGGGCTGCTACTTGCGAGTTTTGTCGTGATCTTCACCTAACGTAACTGTGTTATGGTCTTTTACAAGAAAGATCTGTTTTCAGGTGAAGTTTGGCGGATAATGTTTTCAAACAGTATCATTATATTACGCTTGTCACACAAGGTTTGCCGATGCCCATATAATTATGCTTCTGTTGGTCGTGTCGCTAGTGAGGCCTTTATTTAAGGAGTATGTGTTCCCAATATTGACACCGGCAATCAAGGGATATCACTGGAAATTAAGCTTAAACAAGTGACAATGTTGTTGACAAAGTAATTGCGGCTATTTTCTTTTTGTGGTAACCGACTTTACGTCAACCCCCTCACCCTCAACCTTCCCAGCAAAAAATGTTTAAAAAAGATCGATACGGTGATAATGGTAAGAGCTTTTTTTGGTGGCCTTCGCAAAATAGATTTACCAGAGGATTTGAATTTATTTGTCAACTGTCTTTTTTCCAATAGGTTCTTCTTACAGATACAATATGCACTAACAAGTGCAACATGAACAGTGCTCTCTTCAAAGAAGTCACACAGCACGAAAAAAGAAATTTAAGTGAGCGTAATGGTGGCGTAAAGCTGGCGTAAAGTCCTCATTTACGTAACTTTACGACTCATTTACGCCACGTTAAGTCGAAGTTTACGCTACCTTTACGCACATGCGTAAAGGTGTTGTAAAGAAACACTGTAAGCTCTGCGTAAAGTTGGTGTAAATACGCTTTAAAGTAGACACTTAAACCAGCGTAATTGACGCGTAAAGTTAGTGTAAAGATCTTATATTAGACATCTTTACAAGAATACTTTTACGCGTTACGCGGACATGCAAAGGAGTAGTACATTGTAGTTTAAGAAGTACGGCTCCTTTCCATTTCCAATTTTTCTTTATCATAACCAGTTTTCAAATTGCCTGTCTTATTTTCACATTTCAAATCCCTTGAAAATCACCAGGTATGCTAACTAAATAAGAATCGCGTTCTGTAAGTGTTGGCCCGAAAAGAGTAATTTTACAAGGTTTTAGAAAACAAAACAAACTGATTTTCTAAACTGAATTTTCTAAATATAACATGATTTATTTATGTGTTAGCATCTCTGTCATTACACATGGGGGGAATTAACAATTGTCTGAGGATCCACAACAGTGCTGCAAAACTTTTGAATGGCACTCTACTTGAGAAAAAGGTTACAACACCTAAGTAAAGTTTAAATACAAAGATACAAAAACTTTTCAAATGGGTCAAAACAGTATTAGTATTTACTTGTAAGGTACAAGAAAACTGATGAAGTAAAATTTTTGATAAAAAACAGCGACTCTAACACACCAATGTAAAGGTGGGTCAAAACGGTCTCTTCCAATATGAAAATATTTAGTATAAGTTAACATAATACAAATTAAAAGCTTAAAACAATTTTTGATAAAAAAAGAAAAGAAAAAGAATAAAAGTCTAATACATGTATAGCATTGATGGTTTCTTGACTTAGCCCTTTTGCTCCCAGAAGTGTTTACAGTCAAATTTAACAAAAAATCCAAATTAATAAATCATTTTTATACACTGATGACGTAAAAGCTAGATCCACAAGGCTGTCACTGATTTCAAGTTGCCGGGTATATGAAATTAGTGGGCAGGAAATTGAAAGGGAGGAAAGTTGTTTATGTTCTACTGAATTTTCCTTTGGTTTCCTTTTAAAATAGTCAAGTACTGTGTACCAAATTAGCCAATTTAAACCCTGGTTTATGGCCCTTAGTGACAACCCTGGAACCACCTTACAAGACTTAGGCTTGTGTTTAAAGTGTATTAATCCTGTCTGCTTTGAGAGGATTTCCTGTCACCAACATCCCATACCAGGCTGATCTGTTGAATAAATAGAAAGCAAGTGTTGTTTGAGTAAACTACACAGATTACTTATAGGCTAGTGATAATACACTTAATAGGGCACTAAAGGCACAAGTAAGGTGCCAGAGGACACTGGCTGCTGTTACTTAATAATGATTTTTTTCCCGCAAGTATAGCCAAATTATTACAATCAACACAATTTTATTTGAAAAAGGGTTCCCCACGGTGGCTCTTTTCCCAAAATAAGACTAAAGATTTGAAAAATGATAAAGCATTTTCCAGAAGGGGTCTAATAACAGTGCAAAACCTGAACAGCAAATGATTTCAATGCCCACTAATTCACACAACTGAATGATCGATCCATCTGACTGTTAAAGGTTCAAAATGTTTGACTAGTATAAATTAAAGGCTTTCATTAAAAGCAATAATATTGACATTATGTTAGAACTCTACTTGCAGTTAAGTGAAAATCAGGGTAAAATGTACATAATGGCTTTGCAGTCCTTCTATTCTGTTTATCAGTTCCTCTAGTTTGTGAAACTTTTGATAAGAATGTGTTTTAGTAAAAGCCTTCTTTTATTCATGTAAATCCTTCACGTCTTCTCCTGACCTTAGGCCATTTAAGCCCCCGGCTTTGGTTGTTCTCATGTATTTTTCTCGAGCGCGTGATATGTAATAAAAGTTAAAGCTAAGTTAAGTTGTCACATTACATTTAAGCTTGCTTTATACAGATGTTTTTTTCTTTATTTCATATCTTGTTGTAATTCCTAGTACCAGTAACCAAACTCCTATTTTCCAGTATAAAACAAGGCAATTTTACTCCCTCAGGCCCTCAAAGTCTTAACTTTGTAATTGCACATTACCATCTACATATTGCATGGTCTCGTTGCTTGCTTAGTATTGAAAGGTTATACCAAATAAACACGCAAAAATTATTACCGTTCTACGCTTTTAAAACGTGACAGGGTCAATTTTGGTGTTTAAAATACTATTAAATAACTGTAAATTGCTGTTTCTTAGAACTCACAAAGCGAATTAATTTTTAGTTTTATTTCTGTCGGATATTGCATTTAAAGCCCTTCTAACTATCCATGGCAAGTGTATGTTCCTGTTTGATGGGGCGATGTACAAATAGCATATTCCTTTATTGTAAGGAAAGACCTATCACACGCACACGCAGGGAGAAAAATTGCAATAAATTGAAGCTTTTCCCGTGGGGACCGTGGGAGGGCATTGTTTATGCAGCTCCCGCACAGGCTAATAATATCATCGAATACTGCATTTAGATCCTCATTCGGTGTAGATATAGGGCCAATAACTCCACGAAATAATTTTGTGCTCGTTCCAAATCGACTTCCAAATCTGTTCGTCAGACAACCTGAAATACCCGTCCCCTCCCCGCAAAAATCGGCCCTATTGAAGAGGGAGTGGGACACGTAACGCCTTCTGGATGAGCCGTCCGCCTTTTTGTTTTGTTTTGTTTTTTTTCGACGGAGAAAGCCCAAATCCATAATTGGGGGATAAAGGAAGCCCAATAATAAGAGAATACGTCGGGCATACGGAATAACTAATTGTTCACTTCTCTTCAAATAGAAATCGTGCGAAGGAGATGCGGAGAATGTGAGCGCGACGCACAAGGGAAGCGTGGACGTTTTCATGTTATTTGCAAGGTTACAGGATAATTTGATTTCCTTTTTTCGTGGGATGCCTGTGGCACACCACGGTAAAAATCCGGTTTGGTTTGTTTTTCATTGTACGAACAAATTGCAAAGCCAGCCAATAGGATTGCCTAAAATCTTTATCGATGATTTCTTCTTCCAAGCCGACCAATGGGATTGTACAAAATCTGTATCGATTTTTAATCGATTTGCTTTATCTGAAGAACGTTGAAATCAGAACGTTCTTTGCCAAATTTGTCGCCCTTCAGTTTTCCCACTCGTGGTTTAGGATGGCTTGTTAACCAGCGAAATCGTTCGGGATACTGGCAAGTCACAGAAGGCGACCTAGGCCAAATTATTTCTCCCCTTCATGATTCTTTTTTGTTTAGGTCTAGCTTTTTCTTAAGGTTTTAGTAGCGTCTGGTTGGGGGGACGTGATTTCGGATAGATTTTTCTAGTCGGAGTTCGCCAGTTTTTGCCGAGCAGAGCTAGAGTTCAGTTTTTTTCTTTTCTTATCGAAAACATCTTGACGATGGGAAGTTAAAGGGGCTATGTCAGCTGGAGAGCATGCGCTCTGAGATTATGCAAATTACTTTCAACTGTCAAAATTCTATTGTTTTTAACGTGTGACTTTCTCCATGTGCGCTCTGAGGTTATGCAAATTACTTTCAACTGTCAAAATTCTATTGTTTTTAACGCGTGACTCTCTCCATCTTCTCTGTCACGTCCAAGGCTCCGAATTTAGAGAGGTTAACAAGCGAAATGGGTTTAGATAAGGGATATTTCGATAGAATTCACGGAACGTTTTTTCTCTGGTTATGCTAGATCAAGAATAAAATTGTGACGACAATTTTACTTGTAGTTTTGAAGTAAAAACGCATGCCATTTATAAAATAGAGCGCAAACAAAAATTCAACAACAACATATTGTCTTATTCAACAAAATAAATCGAACAGGCTGATCGAAGTTGTATTTTACAAACGAACTACAAAAGACGCTAGACCGAAGATAAAGACCAAGACTGTTTCAAATCATTAACAATTAGACTTGTCTGTCGCTAGTGATTTTATAATTTAGATGCTGATAGAACAAGAGACATCAAGTCTTTGTTTTGATCTTAGGGAAACATACATTATCGCGCAAAATTGTTCGATCGTGCCGAATCACTGCGACGTCGAGAAAAACAGAACCAAGCATCATTGGTATACTACTCCACTATAAGCAGTCCGTTGATAAAAAGGGAAAGTAAACTCTGCTATTTTCCAAAAATATGCTCGAACACAAACAGTTCAAAAACATGACATTTACAGGATCTAACTCGTACTAACATGCCTCTCTAAGTCCGTTGAGAACAATCTGGACGAGCAAACGGTCGTGTTTATCTTTGCTGTGAATCCAGATAAATACAAGAAGGAATCTAGCCGAATTTTATAATGTTTCCTTCGCCAGGAGTTTAGTTTCGTCACGAAACTCATGGCCTGATGCTCTTGTAATCGTTTACAAAAAACGGCCGCCGCCAACTCGATAGCCGCTTCATTATATGTCCACATACTTTGAGCACAAGAAAAATCCAAGAGCCAGCAGCCTCTAAAATAACTCAATAGAAAGGTTCTGTGAACTATAGGGAAGATTCCATCAAAGATTCCATCGCTCATTGTGGAGTAGCCGTCATTAACTCTGTCATTACAACGGCCGCTGATAAGAGGTCACAGTAAATCCACGTAAAAACATTCCACAGGCAAACAATTTCAAAATAACGCCAAAAAATTGTTCTGTAATCACCATAGAACGATTCTTAATACAAAACTTCGCTATCTATCGAACGATGGCTGAGATTTAGACAGATAAAAACAGCCTTCCAAAATCTCCGACAGAACTTGAAAAAGTTGGGCCGTCTTTTTCAAGTTTGTTTTCATTGGCTCGCGCATGCGTGTGGGATGACATAGCCCCTTTAAATCACATAAATTTCAACTCGTCTCCTTGACGATTGGCGGTGAAATCGCGAAAATACCGTAAAATTCCGAAAATAAGCCCCGGGGCTTATATTTTTCAAAGGCCCTTTTTGAGGGGCTTTTTTTTGGAGGGGCTTATCTACGGA